GGCTTCGCCAACCAACAGGGACACAAATATCGCCTTATGGACCAACATGGGAGTTTGTCAGACCAATGAAAGCTAAGACATGCTAAACAATCATTCATGGCTTACCACCACGTGGTGCACCCTGGGCAACGTGTACTCTTACGGCAAAAAGTCATATTCTACCCCTACCACAGTATTCATTTCACCTTTTCTCTGCCTTTGTGTCCGTCCGTTTCTCTTCCATCTGTGAATTACTCTTCCGTTCCCCCTCTCGACTTTATGTGATTTTGCTGTTCCCCTCCTCCGTGAAGCCCGAAGTCAGCTAAATGGCTAATGATAGCTATCAAAACGCATGCCATTTGAAATAAATAAATAATTGCGGCGAGATAGCCGGTTCTCCCTACTTTTACACTTCTGCTCTTCTTCCATCATACTTGTGTAGACCTTTATTGCTTCTCAGTCCGTATTAAGTTCCCTTTAAGCCACTGCTTAATAAATGGCAATAAGTCCACGACATATATGAATTAAATCGATACCATGCTGATCTATACTCCATCGATCCTTGTCTCATCTAGTCGGAACATGAGAGCAAACTTTGTGAGCACTTATCGCATGAAGTCCCTAGGCCACCCATCATCCTTGACAATATGGGGGCTAACGCAGCGTCTGACAGTTAATCGGGTTATAAATTTTTATCGGTCTGGCGTTGGTTCAATAGCAATAAGGCATGCTTAGTCTTTGTTTAGCTAACAAAGTGGCATTGAACAAACACTCCCTGTCTTATCCAGGCCAACTCTGGCCAATTAGCTTGACCTTACACATTTTCACGCTTTCAGATAGCTTTTTTAGCAAATCAGTTGTTTATTGATTGAAATACATTAAAAACAAGTTGGGAATCGTGCTTTAGCTTCTTGGACCAAGTTTCCGTATCCCCGAGTTCCTTTAAAGCTGAGTTGACATCTGAAATATCTCTCTTCCAGATCTCCAATTGACGACCAAATTCGTGTATATTTTTATCGAGTAGCTTCACCTCCGTGTTCAGTCGACATTGATTCTTGTAGGCCTAGATGTCACAAAATAACACGTCAGTTCAAGTAAAAACGTGCTGATAGTGGATCAATAAATTGCTTTGCAAAATTGGTTGGATTGTAGGCTCAAGTTTAATTGTTGGGAGGCGGTATAAGAAATTGGGAATTACTGTATATTCACTTAGAAGACTCCTGATATAGGCTATAACTAGTGACATAAGGCAAAATCGATAATTTTCGAAGCCTAAATAGAATTTACTGCCTTCATATTGACCAATCCTTAAACCAACCAATAACACAGGGTATTTGCAAGTAAAGTGCCGAAGAGAAATGGTTTGAGATACAGATCTCATTTCTCATCGCGAGCATCCACACCAACTATAGATCCTACTTTGAGTAGGCCTTTTGGGGGCAAATTGCAGTGAATTTAGTCTTAAAAAACAATTAGAACGGCATTCGGAAAGATAATATTTTGACGTCCGTTCTCCATCTTACTGAAAGTCGAGTCAATCGAGAACAAATAGAAATGATTATGTCGTTGATGCAAAAAACAAGGATCTACCTACTTAATCTGCATATACATAATTCTCCTAATCCTAAGCCAATTCACAGAAGTTGATGGGAGTATTGGAGAGCTCAAACGATCCATCGCCACCATCAGAAGCATCCGATTGAAAAGTCATTGTTACAACCTAATTAGCCTCCAAAATATAACCACAACCCCTGCATTCAATAACAAAACGGGATTAAGCAGAGGATTGCTCAGATAGTCAGCTAATAATGTTCATACGAATTATCCTAGATGTGTGCGATAACTAATCATTTTTCCTAGTATCATAGAATTTTAATAAACGTTTCACTCGCAACACACCTCCCTTCTCTATATCATTATTATAGTTCAATTCCCTCCTAATCCACGACAAGGTAATGCAGTACACTTTATGCATAATTAATGAAAAAATTAGCCTGCATACCCTTGGATAAAATTATACACCTCTATCCAGAAAAAGTGTCTTTAATGAATGATAAGTGTATCTCCAATGTATTCAGACATTACAATTTTATAATACAACCCTTCCCCCCCCCTCCCATCTGAAATGTTTGCAAATAAAGGCAAATTTCTCTTGCTCTCTCTATCTCTCGCTAAGGTATGATCAGAACAAATTTTCTCTGGACTACCAAGAAGATAAGTAAAGAAAACGAATCATTTTCCAAGAATTAATTACCTTTGAGACATCCTCATTCAGGCCTGCACTCAACTGAGAAGTCAGGCCAGTAATTTCATCGAAAATATTCTCAATTCCCGCGTTTAATTCTGCCTTCTTCTCTTGCAACTCGGCTTGATTCACTTTAGCAAGATCTCGCAAAGCGCTCCTGTCAAAGTCATGAGGTAGCGCCTTTTTTTGAAAGAGAGAAAATCTCATTTAGACCAATAAATTAACAAAAGCACCATGAAATTCCAGAACGAGGAACTCTGCAGGAATCATTTATTCAAAAATTAGCAAAAGAAACGTAGGTTAGAGGACAAAGTCAACTCCTTCTGCAGGTGTAGTGGAGATGTAATGAGAGAGAACCTCAAGCACTTCATCCAGGGCTAGGCGTCGAATTCCAATTTCCAGAAGAGAACCAATTACCGTGGTGGGATCAGTGTTGGCCAAAGAGTGCTTAAGCAAATGAATGGATCCAGAAGGTAGGGTGAGAAGACGACAAGCATCCAGACATTCAGCAAGGATATCGTCGACTGCAAGCAGGTCAGTGTAAGTCATTAGGAGGCCCCGTAGTGAGTAATCAATGTCGAATCTCAGTTGACTAGCTCCAACAGAAGTGAATCGATTTGCCAGAATCAGCTAGACAAAATAAGCTTCCTTAAAAGTTATGTTCGTTTACCGAAGTTGATAAAGAATTTTCTTCTTATAATTGTTTAAAATAGTACACGAATAGCATAAGTGTAAGGTAAGTATTCCATAGTTTTGAGATTTTTGAAAAGTGAGTTTTGCAGGGTTAGGGAATTAAGCTGAGCGGCTTATGAAATCGAAAAACCGGAGACACACTAAAATGGTAAATTACTGAATAAATATTGCTCAGACACGGAGAGTGAAAGGACTAAAATTTATCAATTGCCCGTTATTAAAGCTGAATCTATTCAGACCGAAAAACGAAGCAGAAGAAGAAGAGAGAAGACTTATAGCTCAAATGGCAGTGTCATATTAACGAAATTTATTTACTCGTGTAAGTTCGAAGATGTGGCAAATTATTGGCTGTCTCATTAGCCAAGAGCTGCGAGAACTGCCTCTGCACAGGTGGTCTTAGGTAATGACAATCTAGCAAATCAGATATAACGCTTACTAGTCCCTCTTGAGAGGAGTGAAAATATTTGACCAGGTGCCCTAACGACAATGAAATCATTCACACAACGGCCAAGAGACCATCAAGGATAGTGCTAACAAAGGAAATGGAAGCCGACTGCAAAGTATCTTATTTGCCTCCCAGCAAGCCAACAGATTTCGGCACCAAATAACAATATGGAATTGCCACATGCAAGTTTTCTATCCCTGCATTACAGATAAATAATTGGCAATAAAATAATCACATTACCAATTTCTTACCGAAATGGTCTGTACGCTAGTAACCTCGTCAGCTCAGTAGGTATACTTAGCCCAAACCTCTCAGCCTTATATATTTTAATGTTCGCAGGTTCAAGTTGTTTTTTGTCCTATATCACAGGCCAAATTTTAATATCTGACAGCGATTGAAGGTCAAAACCGAATTAGAAAAGGCAATATTATCACCTCCTTGTAAATAGTTTAGGTGTGATAGACTTACCTCCACATGGTGCACCCTGGGCAAC